ATATATATATATATATAAATCTACTAAAAACCATAATTACACAGAATTATGTAATTAAGTGAAACGCAAAAGGACGTTTAAAGTTTCGCGCGTAAGAGACAGCATTATCCCGTTGCGACATGGCGGACGGAAGTAGACGTCACCCAGTGCCAACTGCCAGCCAACGGGGCTTCGTCGGGCTACCCTTTCTATGGGAGGAAAAGCGCTTTTCTCCGTCCCCGCGGCCTCTGTACGTTTTTTTCATATTTGGTACGTTAAAACGCCGGTGGCGAGTTAACGGGCCTTCTTATCGTTCCTCTCGAACGCGACGCGCGCGATCCTCGGAGACACTTGGCCGTCAAAAACGCCTCGACGATGATCTATTAAAGACGGACAGAAAAAGATAAACTTCACGAAAAATAATAATTGTTTAGTGTCAGTGGACAAGAAACGACGAGAAAAAAAGACAGGAAGATTTGTGAATCTCTGATTTATAAATTGTTTGCCGATCATACGGCTGAACGGAACGGTAAGTCGTCGTGAATTCCACGTCGCGGTCTCGTTCCGCCTCAACTGCACTCTCCTACACCTCTCGCGTGTATAATTAGAAGAGCGCGGATTTAAGCTGCCGCGAAAGAGGAGTCCCGGATTACGGGGAAGGTGTAGAAAAGTGCAACGGAGTGTGGAAAGGATCGCGAGAGGCGACGAGTGCGCGCGATATATCGTCGTGACGACGACGGCGACGACGACGCATCGAGCTCCCCGTGCCGACTACACCTCCTGCACCCTGGACGCGCGACGAACGAGCCAAGGTTGCGAGAGCGGATTTAAAAGAATCGGCCGTATCGCGCGCGCGAGACGCACAGTCGGTCACGTTGGCAAACGGTGATCTCGTTAACTTGCCTTATTGTTGCAGAGTCATTCGTTAGTTAACACGTACGCGCGCACAGACGCACGGTGGACGTAGCGTAACATCCTTACATCTGTAAATATGTTTATTTGGGACTGGTTTGCCGGAGTGCTGAGTTATCTCGGTGAGTGGCATTTACTAGGACATTAATGTGCGCCCCGCAATCGATGGGAAAGTTGCACGAGACGAGCATGGTAATTTGATTATAACGCTGTGATTGTGTCAGCCGTTGACGACGTCAAGTACCTAGAGATGATAAATACGCATACTTATCGGAAGTGCGATCGCAATAATTTTCTTATTGTACAGTTCTCTTCAAAGCGATTCTATCTTGAGAGAAGGGTTGTTTAATTTTGTTTAATGGAAATCTACTTCCTTTAATGTATAAGCAATTGTTGAACAAAGAGCTTTGTTTCACAGAGGTAATACCGCTTGTCAGGCTATGTCACATTGACTGCCATGTCATCCTTATGTGAATGACACGTTCAGGGTTGTGCTGTAGACTTCAAAATCACAGGGTTACTTAGGTATTTTCTATGTGATGTATACATGGTGATATTTTACATAGAATATTATAAATTATATTGAAATTAACAAAAAAAGAATATTTCAATTAGGACACAATTGCCATATCTGTTTTAGGTATTAATTGTAAATGTAATGTTTGAAATAAATAAATTGCATGATACTGTTATTTTATTATATGACAGATTGGTAGATTTAACTCTTTCTAGATGAGAACATAACTCGAAGATTTTGTGGACTTTAACTATAAACTTTTCTTAATTTTGAGCAAGCTATATATAGTGTTTAAACATCTGTGATTATGATAGTTTTTTATGGCAGTTTTTATATTTTAACATGAATGATATTAATAAATATTTTCTTGAAAATCCACTGTAGAACTGATAAAGTGATATTGTGAGAACAACAGTAGTATTTGTTAAAATCTAAAGTTTGAAATTAAATATTATAAAGTGACAATCAACACAATATGTTCATTATCAGCTGTAAAATGAACAGAGTAGAATTTGTTTCATATATCAATTTTAGTTAGTATTAATTATTACTGTATGACCCAAATCACAATCTTTATTAGAGATGGTTTTGGAAGAATATTTTTTGAACTTGATATAAGTCTAATTTTCTAGCGGGGTACTGTCATTTTCTTTTCTTATTTTCAGGATTATGGAAGAAGAGTGGCAAGCTTCTCTTCCTGGGTTTAGATAATGCTGGCAAAACCACATTGCTTCATATGCTCAAAGATGATCGTTTAGCTCAGCATGTGCCCACGTTGCATCCAAGTAACTAATTTTAATCTAATCCACCTCTCATCCCTGATTAATTTCATTCTATTTATATCTCTCGCTAGGTATTTTTAAAATATTAAGAATAAACAGTTTCTTAGTTTGTTTTAAACACATTAAGAGTTTGCTTTAAGACAGGAAATATAAACTATGATATATAAATTGCACAATGATTCTTTTACATTGGAATAACAATTGATTTCGATGTTAAAGTACCGACTACGAGAATCGCATTGTCGAGTTGTCATTAATAATTGATGTTTTTTTTAGCTTCTGAAGAGTTGTCTATTGGAAACATGAGATTCACAACCTTTGATCTCGGGGGCCATACTCAAGGTACACGAGTGGAAATACTTATATTTTATGAAAGACATTCGTTCGAAACACACGAACTATATGTTTTTCAGCACGTCGAGTATGGAAGGATTATTTCCCGGCTGTTGATGCGATAGTTTTCCTCGTTGACGCTAGCGACAGAACAAGATTACCCGAGTCGAGGGCCGAACTCGATGCGTTACTAACCGATGAGCAGCTCAGCGCGTGTCCCGTTCTGGTGCTAGGCAATAAGATAGATAAACCAAACGCGGCGTCCGAGGACGAGCTCAGGAATTTCTTCAATCTATACGGACAAACAACAGGAAAGGTACGGTCGCGGAATACGAGAATTTCACTAGCCACTACGATTGTTGTGTTTCATGTGAAACACCTGAGCTGAGATTATTCCTGTGATTCAATTTCTAGGGTAAAATTTCTCGCAATGAGATACCCGGCCGTCCATTGGAGCTGTTCATGTGCTCAGTCCTGAAGAGGCAGGGGTACGGAGAAGGCTTCCGTTGGCTCGCACAGTATATCGATTGAAAACGTATATGTTATTGTATCCGATACACAAACACTATACACAGTCAGATTCTCGACAGTTTCATGAACATTTTTCTTATCTCCGGTTCTTGATTAGCCGTCGTCGTTAACAACGTCGAGACACTGGAACTGTAATGATTCTCTTCGTGCGGACGCGATAATAAGAGAGAAATGACGTTTCACTGACGCGATTAACAGACATAATCACAGAAATTTGAAATCGCACACACAGGTAGACAGGAATTTCTAAAAAAAAAAAAAAACAAGTATTAGCAGGAACGCTGTGCTGTATAATAGAACTCGTGGGTTTCTTTGACATTAAACACGCGCGAAAGAGTCCGATGCCTAGGTCACCTCTTATCTCTCTTTCTCCTCTCTCTCCTCTCTCTTTTTCTCTCTCCGAAATATTTCGTCTCATGCAGATCCGATGTGGATTCCTGTTCATTTTGCAAGTCACAAAGGGGAATCATCGACATGCTGGATAATGAAATAAACGTTTTGATAAATAAAAACTATAATAAACTATTTAAGAATTTCAAGTGTTTTGTAAATTTATTTTGGGTTAGCAATTAGTTATTTATAATGACGAATATAATGTTGGGTACGTTTCATGGTTTTTGGGCAAATTAAAATCTTGATGAGTCTGCAAATATGTAATTTATACAAATTTGGTCGATCCGTTAATCGGTACTAGCACTTCCATACGTGCGCCTTCGTTATTTTCAACTTTAATCGATTTAAGATGATCATTCGAATCGACAGATACGGCATATTTCATATTCTGTTGCTAGGTGTTTAATGTTTGATTTTGTAATTTTGCATTTGCGTGCCAATGTCATATATGTCCATTGAAACGTATCATTTAGAGAAACTATAGAACATATGTGTAAGAGCGTCTTTTGTAATTTCTTCTCCGCAATGGCATAAAGAAGTCCGTCAAGTTAGCGACGTTAGATAGGTACAATTACGTTGTGTTTTTAGATAGGAAATTGCGATTATTAATCGTAAAATTGCATGTATTAGTTGCAGCTAATGTTGATTGATAAGCAACACATAACACGCTAAATATTATAAAATGACTTTCAGTTGTAACATGTATAACATTTGTAAATCAACGCGATTCGCCTCAAACTTGTTATTGAAAATTGAAGTTACTCATAAGTGCATATATATGTATGAATTGTGGCAAAATTTTGTTCGATACGTTTTTGTGAACTCGACTTGTGCAAATAGATTCTTTATCACACAGAGTTGCTTCCAAAATAAAGATCAAAGTTACGAGAACACACAAATTTTGTGCGATAATTATAATAAATACTCATCGGGTTTCTTTTTGTTATTCTATACGAATAAAATGTTATTTTACATAAGACCGCGAGGTGAACCATTTGTTTGCCATGTTTTCTGAAAATTGATTGTCACGTATAAATCGGGATTCATATCATGAGAGATATTAAAAATTATCTAAGGTGGAGTAAACAAGTTTAACAATTTGTATTTTTAATAAATTCCTGAGGATAAAATGTGCGTACAAAAATAATATATGTAGCAACTTGGTTTCGCAACAACCCACGAAATGTGAGCACTTTTCTCGATTATTTCTTACAATTTGCTCGCACATAATTCTAACTCCATCTCGGGAGGTAGCGGTGCGAACCGTTTATTTATATATTCGTCTGTAACATCAGCCAAAGTGCTCGGCTTCCACACTGGCTTCTGATCTTTATCGATCAAAAGAGCTCTCACACCTGCAATCGAATCGCGACGTTGAATCGAAAGTGACGAAATGCACGATATCGATCGAGTCCTATTTAATTACCTTCGTAAAAGTCACTGTCTTTATTTAGCGTAGCACACGCTAATCTATATTCGATCTTCAAACATTCTGCCAAAGATCTTCCCTTCCCTTCGTCGATTGCTTTTTTCGATACCTTGAGAGAGGATGGGCACATTCTGAGTAGTATCTCCACGTTCTTTTGTGCCCATTCTGAATTGTCTTCTTTTAGCCTTTGCAAAGAATATTACAGCCTGATTGATATTAGGAAAAAAAGACGTTAATCTAGTTGTATTAAATTATATTTTTGTACCTCTCAATTATTTCCTCGACGGTTGGAGCAGAAAAGCAATGTTCTATCTGCGACATGTGAAGTGCCAAGCTGAATTCGTGATTCAATTTGGGCTGATACTTGTTCAAAATATCATCGACGTTGCTGTCTGGCGACATTAACAAATCGCGCTTCAAATACGCAAGTTTCTCTGATGGCACATAGTGCGTCGCGATTCCAGCAAGAAGCACGTCGACACCTTAATCAAACAAAAACATATTTATATACTAATACAAGAGACATAACAAGTTCGTATAAATTTATATCGAGTAAACTCTATATATTAGATCAGGGCTCGGAACAGTTTACCAATTTCGACCGATTCTCGGGAGCTACGCCTTCTATCTCTAATGTAAAGGAATAATCGGAGTTATCACACACCTTTCAATCTATGTCCTGTTAGTCCCAGATAAAGACCCAATTTTCCTTTCAGTCTGGGCAAAAAGTATGTCCCACCAACATCAGGGAACAGTCCTATCGCTGTTTCCGGCATAGCAAACAGCGTTTTCTCGGTAGCGACTCTGTATTTGCCGTGCACGGACAATCCAACACCACCCCCCATTGTTATTCCACTAATGAAAGCTATATAAGGTTTCTGGTATGTACTAATATGATGGTTCAAGCTACAAGAAACAAAGGGGAGAAAATCTTGTTATAATTCTTTATATATGTACAAATGAAAATTATTGGTTTGTGAGTAAATATTTACATGACTTACGTATATTCCTTCTTAAAGAATTCTTGCCCAAAAGTCTCTCCTTTTGGTTTATACAATGCTGTGATAAGTGATTTAATATCACCACCTGCACAAAATGCCTTATCGCCTGCACCTTCAATCATTACCAGTCTCTTTGAAGATTCCCATTGCTTAAAGACAGGATGAATTTTTTCAACCATGGACAGACTCAAGCTATTTAATGCTTTAGGTCGATTTAAAACTATCACACCGCAATCTTCAACCTGTTTATATACACAAATACTTTTAATTGCAGTTTTAATAAAAAGAGAATAACAAGACTTTATAAAGAAAAGTTAAAAATTATTCTATATATATAACATTGACTTACATCTTTCAGGAGGACATCGTCTTCCATGGTTCCTTTGTGTATAACGTCTTCAACAACTGAAGCTGAAACAACAATAACTTGGCAATTATTTGCAAAATTAATGTGTTCAAGATAAAATTATAAATAAAATAAAAAATTTAAATAAAATAAAAAAAATAAAAAATTTTGCTTTATTTCTTAATAGAGGATATATTTGCTTGTAACAGTAAATTTCTTAATAGAGGATATATTTGCTTGTAACAGCATATTATTATTAGAATCATGAAAGGAAAAATTTAGAAAAAACAAGTTTTTAAAATTTCCTAAAATAGTTTAAAAATTATTCTTACCTGTGGAAGAACCCGATATTGAAAGATATCTAACACTAACTCGTGTGATTATTGCACTAATACCTGGATAATACACTTTTCCTATCATTCTCTGAATCTTGCAACATAAGAATAATTATAATATTTATGACAATGACTTCATTGTGATACATAATTCATTAACATATGTTTATGTATCTAAGCAATGAGACCACTATGTGAACACATACATATATGTATATATTTACATGCGCAAAAATATATTCTATATCTTTATATAATTGCAACATAAAAAAAATATATATAGGAATACGATTATACCATTTTCTTTAAATATAATGATAATCAACGATGTAGAATGACAAACGCGTTTGGCGTGCTAAGAGCTCTGATTGTTCCCACTTCTGCTAATAGTTAACTCATATGTCTGTCTTTGTCGAATTTGAAGAATAATTAAAGACAGACATACAATCTAATTGTACGGCTATCGTACAAAAATTGACACAGTTGCATATGGATAAGACTTTGCGCATAATGGTGAAAATATTGGAATAAAAATAAATATTAAGAATGTTTTATACTTCAAATAATTTATTTTCATATATCTAATATTTTACATCATTTTTATTCCTGATTACTTAATTTGCAATGCATTAATATATTCGTGGTTCCTTTGCTTTAAACAATTCCATTTTCTAAGATTAAACCATTTAATATTTATTCCTATGCGTTCACGATAAGTCAGCATTTTTTACAGCATATGTAACATGACATGAATAGATAAATGTGTGAGTAAAACGCAACAAAATGCAACCTTAATATGTGCTCCATTGTGTGTAAGGCCTAAGATCGCCACAACCAATGGACATCTAGGGCTGCTCGGATTGCTCTTTTATCTCGAAAATGCACAGAAGTGAGAGAGATACAAGATCTTGTATCTTTTTCATTTCTATGCATCTTCGAGATGAAAGAGCAATCCGACCTTTTCGATTTATGCAGGATTCATACCGCGTCCGATGTCCGACGTACGACGTCCGATATCCAATAAAAGAACAGCTTTCTAATAGAGAATTTAATTCTCCATTGGAAAGTTGTTCTCCTATTGGATATCGGACGTCGTACGTCGGACATCGGACGCGGTGTGAATCCTCCATTACAATGCCGAACGCAGCTAATATACGTGACATGAAGTATAGATTTTCAGTACTGGCAATGAATTTCGGAACGCAGCTTCGATGAGTAGTGCCCGTATTCATAGTCAGGCCTTATATTTAAGGCCTCCTTAAATTCATCTTCAGATACTCTACGGATCATTTTATTGGCTACAGAGTATCTGAAGATGAACTTAAGGAAGCTTTAAATATAAGACCTGACTATGAATACGGACATAAAACTTATATTTAATTGGCCAATCATGATAAAGAAATCCTAGTTATCTTTGTTCTTATTGGTCAATTAAATGCTACTCTACCTGTCGAGTAGAATTTTGGAACGCAGCCCAGAGGTTGCATTCCAAAATGTCCTTTTTGAGGAAATTTTACTTGATGCTCTATAGTATGTAACATAGAGTGCTTTCCATTTAATAACACAAGTCGACACAGGGTGCTTTCCAATTGCTTAACATATCTTGACACAGAATCTTGACATAGGTACAGAGTACAGAAATATCCAAAGTGTAACGTTGTGCACGATTCAATTGGAACAAATTGTGTACTAATGTGTACGTATGTCGGGTAGGGTTAGAATTATTTTTCAACCGTGCTTATATTTTGGTATTTTTTAAATAATAAAATCTAAATAATAATAAATAATAAAATCTAAATAATAAAAAAGATATTATCCATTTCACGTCGCAAATGCCAGTCTCTTTTCAAGCCGCTACGCTTATTAACTTTAATTGTCATTAGAAAACACTAATTTACACAGCCGACTAGTAGCCCTTGAGCTGAGTACGGATGTGTAGTGTTGTATCGACGATTACGACAATTGGAATGCAACTTGTGCACCGTCTGCATGAAAGTATCTAGGGATATTGCAATTGGAAAGCACCCATTAGTATCATCCTATCTTAGTTACTCATTGAATATGGAACAATAACAGAATGATACTTGTGTCGACTTGTGCTGTCCCGATCCACAATATCACAGTCGATTATTCTCTTTAAATAAATTTGACTGTGATTGGTCAATTTCTTAAGCTTAAAGCTTACTACTAGAGATGCCCGATTCTTAATCAATTCGATTCTTTCCCTAACAAATTTAGGGAAAAAAAGTTGTTCGTGCTGCTTGCATGTTTCATACTTTTCGCTTTTAAAAAGAGATGGACACCTAAGAATCAGACGCTTGGAAGAAACAATCGAGTTGGTTGTCTCGTTTTTGCTTCTTCGAAACTTTCTTTCCATAACGATTTAACGTTATGGAGGTGATTTTCGGATGTTGGAAAAATATTTTCAAGGTACTGAGTGCGCTATAGAGTCACACAAACACCCGTTGTCTCCCCGGAAGCGATACAGAACGAAATAAGCATATCTGACGCAATTTTCGAAAATAGACCTTTTCAAAGGCGAATGTTTCTTTAGAAAACCCTAAAAAACTATCCGAAATAGTGCTCTCTACGCTAACGCGAAATAACTTGTAACCTACCATAACCCAGCCTACTTTCGGCCTTTCGGAACTTTCTTCGAAACGTTTTTGCTTTTTCTTATTCCAATATACTTCTGTCTAGTTTTAAATACGAAAAGTGCGAAGAATGCAAACAACACGAATAAGCCTATTTTTGGGGAAAGAATCGAATCGATTCAGAATCGAGCATCTCTACTTACTACACCTATTGTGGATCGGGACTTACTTCTGAGCCCCTATTCTTGAAATTTTTGCGTATACATAATTTTCATTGCGTAGCTATTTTATCGTATGATTAAACTTGTGCAGTAAAATTTACGTATACGCAACTATTTAAAAAATAAAGGCTCAGAGGTAAAAGTTATGCGCGTCTACAATGACAGTAGGAGTAGTAGTAAGAAATAAGCAGTAGGAGTAGTAGTAAGAAATAAGTAAACCAATCACAATCGATAATTCTTGAATCGTGAGAATGGAATTTGCTTACTGCTTATTTCTTACTACTACTCCTACTGCCATTGTAGACGACGCATTACAGAATAGACTTATAAATCACGTCTTATTGTCAAGTAGTACGACTCAACGACAGATCAAGGGAACTCTTTACTTTTAAATACGACGAAGAATAAATAATAAAACTCTTTGATTAATAAGATTAATTGGACTATAAATGTATTCGCAGCGTAGTGAGGAATAGTATACGTGACATGAACTATAGATTTTCGGAACGTAGCCAGAGTGGACACATCAGTTTCGATGTAGGTCGCGTTTTTCACGCATGCGCGACAGTAAAAGAGCGATATAGTAGTAACGTATATCTAAAAAAAACGTTTTGGGAGCCAGTTTTGGCGCGCTTCAATGAACAGATAACCTAGGATAAATGCAATTAGTGAAGTAGGAAATATATGTTTATATAAGTATATGTATAAAAATATAATACAGATTCGCGCGCGAATGTAGAAAAAGGAGCAATTTTTCTTTTCTATGCATAAGAATATGTGTTAATTAATATCACTATCCTTTTCGTCCTTTAATTCACCATTTAACTTCGTGTTACTTATGAAATTAAAAAGAATTATTATCTCGTATTATTTATGTATATTTATTTAATTTTATTAACGTTAAAAAATTTTTGAGAGTTTAATATAGTCCCCGATAATTGTACCTCATTTTCCTCAAGCTAGGTACAGCTCTGATAATGTTTTCGTCACGCATGCGCAAAAAACGCGACCCGCATCGAAACACTGGGTCACACGCAACGCAACGCATCACGACGCAACGTAGTCACTGGAAGTCGGTCTGACGAGAACGTTATTTTCGCGGAACGAAAGGAGACACGTCCCGTCATCTGCGTGTGATTATCGTGCGTCGTCACGTTATCGCCGAATTCGCCGTATAGGTTATAATTCACAAGCGTGCGCGCGTAAAGTCGGGGTAACAATCGAATAAAGCGAGAGTGAGAAAAAGGGAAAGAGCGAGACGCACACACGTAGTATATGGTTAATATATCGATCTTTTGTTAATTCCACGCAAAACATTCGCGCGAACGATAAAAGCGTGACAAACAGAAAGGACGAGAGAGGGAGAGAGAGCGCGCGTGCGCGCTCGAGGGTACGGAAGAGAGACGGATAGAGAGAGAGAGAGAGGAGTGAGGTTAAACGTTGTCAGGTTTGTTCTCTCAGTTGCGATTCTCGCCGAGTTTCGTGTGAAAACTCGATGTTTATGAGTTTTCGATCTCTCTCGAGAACGTTTCATGTGCATCTTATATAGCGTCCGTCCAGACTTCGTCGTCCACGATGACCGTTCGCGACCTCGGTTCGATCGCGCTCTAGGTTTGTCAACAGTTTCGGGGACTGCTTCATGCGCGAGAGACCGCCGCGTGTAACGGCGCGAAAATCAAACCGCTGTCATTCGCAATGGAAACGCCGCGTATTTATCGAGCACACTGTATAATATTGTGAAAACAACCCCAGTACGACTGACAAAGAACAAGCTGAACGTGTCCGCAGCGGTGACACTAACGAGCTCGCGATCAGATAACAGAGATTGATCAACACTTGACTTACACCGATCGATGCCGCGTTCACCAACGGCGATAAATTATCGTAGCGTTCGATAAATATTACACTGGGATAAGCGAACTGGTATCAAGTGATAAGAGATAAAGGGATAGAGAGAACAAGCGGGAGAAGTAGTGGAGGAGACAGTCAGTCCGCGGCAAGAAGTAGAGTCGAATTAAACAGCTACTCTCCACATGAGTCGTGGTGACGGGACGCGAGGGTAAAAAGTCCGTTGCGCAAATAAAACAGCGAGGAAAGTCGAAACCGGTGCAATTTTGGTGAGTTCAGTTCCCACTTTGCGAAGACGTTCGTTCCGTCGATCATATGATTATCGCGCGCGCCACGAATCGGAAATCGAACTTGCACCGGTTTCGATCCGGTTTCTGACCGACGAGAACTGTGAGCATCGCGCAAAACCGTCTCATTGCAGAAGAATACCGCCGCCGCACGCCCGTTTATAAATTATGACGACTCTGGACCCGCAGCTCGACGAGAGCATGTGCCATCTCGATAAGCTGCCGCATGTGGAATGGGACAGTTCGTGCCCCGAATCGTCCAGATGTACGTTCCCCGACGGGCTGAGTCCGCTGGAATGTCAGATGGCCGGTCATCCGTTCGACGGCGTGAAACATACTATCGGTGAGCGCGGCAATTTTTACGGAAAAAAGAAAGATAAAAAGACCACGTAGATTTGCGAAGAAGTAAGATGATAAAGTTACCGCGTTATATTATATATTATAGGACAAAGGACAAATTAAGCGCATCCGCAGCGATGACACATAGTAACAAGAAATCGTAATCAGATAACAGAAATTGATCAACACTTGATCACGTCGATCGATGTCGCGTTCATTAACGGCGATAAATTATCGCAGCGTTCGATAAATTTTACACTGGAATAACTATTATTCCTGTTATCGCGTACTATATCACTAAATATAGTACGAGATAACAGAAAATATCGCGAATATCGCCTGTTCGACTTAATTGACAATAATAACGAGTGTAAGTTGAAAACTTTTGCGCAGTAAAGGACATATTTTTTCTCGCGAACGAATGCACGCGGAATAATACATTCGAATCGATAAAAATCGGAAGATTCCAGAAATTGCAATCATTTCGAGCTGACTCGACGATATCGCAGAAATCTCTAATCTCTCTAATCTCTTATTTGCGCTGTGCATTTTTATGTGCGCACGGCGTGCTTCAAAGGTGTATCGGCAAGGTTGAGTCTACGTACATTTTGTGGTCTGAAGTGAGACGCGGGAGATGGTGACTGTAAAAGCAGACACGAACACACATTAAAACATGCTAACGCGGACCGAATACAATTGTATTCGTATCGCATTGTACACCGCGTTGAATTGTATCGCACTGTACTGTACAGTGGCATTGTATATATCGTATTGTTTATCGACAGTATTAACATGCCCCGTATACTTCGTGATTTAACAGAGAACCGTTTGCGATCGTAGGTATGCTCCGCAGACCAAACGGGCATGTATTGAAACCAGCGACTAAAGCGATCCTCGGGGAGAGAGAAATTGCGTTTTACGAGAACTTGCAGACTTCCCAGGATCCTACAACGACGCAATTGAGAAGTTTCGTTCCGTGTTACTATGGCACGACGGAGTTGAGGATCTTCAATAAACGTAAGACTTTTTATCAACAAGCCAGACGCGACTGTCTTTTAGATAAGCTGTCCGACTTGACGTACAAACAGGTGCCTTAACATCTCTACGACTAATGGATCAATATTATTATTCGAAACAAAGTATCGAGAGTTTTCCTCGTTGTGTGATTCGTCGAGAGTGTCGCAACTGAAGTAAATTTAGTCAAAATGTCCGTTTCGACTTCCGTGTCGAATTTGGTTTTACATTTGATGGAAATATATTGTTCACCAACCATAAATAATCGTCAAGGTTTACCGTCAAAGAAGCCGGAAAAATCGGGCCGAATTTTTTTATTGACTCAATACTAATCTGCTACTTTTTCTTTCATTTATTTATTCTGTGACCCTGATGATTCGGTTCAATACGCAGGTACGAAGTTTCTCACGCTTAAGGATATCACGGAGGACATGGCCGAGCCATGTGTGATGGATATCAAGATCGGCCGTCGCACGTGGGATCCTTTAGCCACGCCAGAGAAGAGGGCAACGGAAGAATTCAAGTATGCCGAATCGAAGCGTGCTTATGGTTTTTGTATAACCGGTTTTCAAGTATATTGTCTCTCCAGTGGACGATTAAAAAAATTTGACAGAGATTATGGCAAGAAACTCGATGCCAAGGGCGTCGTAGAAGGTATCTGCTTTAGAGTTTTTAGGAGACATATACGAAGTCGATAAAGATATAAGACTGCCACGCCGGCGCAAAGCGGGATTCACACGAGTACTAGAAAGTACATTTCAGGACGTAGGAAGCTAGCGAGCTTACTCTCTCTAGTCGCTCTTAAGTAACCGAGGTAGCGCGTCACAACCACCCGCTACTCGGCTAAAAGGCTAAGCACACGAGCCTCTTAACTCACTGGTGATCGGTCGAGAGTCAAAATTAGCGTGCTTTTCAATTTGTGATTATCGATGGGAAAGCAGTCACCCGTAGGCGTGAATATCGACAAATTTCATCTAACAAATTTCAAAAATTCTTTAAAATGCTGACAAAAAGAAAAAAAAAAAAGGTTTGCTAATAATTCCCAGTAAGTCTTATATAAGTGCGATGAAAATCGGATACACAATTTGTTCTCGTATGCCGCTTCGTTCAATTTTCTGATTGCTACACGTAAGAGATTATAGAGTAATTCCACCAACGCCGGCGTTCTAGAGTTAACGATAAATTAGCCTCCATACGGTGTTGAGAAAAAGAGGAAAAAAAAAAGAAAAAAAATTCGCGCGACGTGTCCTATTTAGCGTTAAAATTCCTAACAAGATCCCTAGATTTTGGAATCGCGTTATAAATACCTTCTTCTTCTTGTCTTCACGCAGCGCTGGAAACTTTTCTAAACATAACACCTGAGAAGCCAGCCTGCCGACAGCTGATCACCAAGCTCCTGTCGATCCTGTGTCAGATCATGCTGTTCTTCCGCACGCAACGGCAGTATCGCTTCTATTCCAGCTCGCTCTTGGTAGCCTACGACGCCCAGAGATTACGGCGCTGTCCTCCCGACGATGAGGATCCCGACAATAGGATCGAGTCAAGTAATCGTACCGACGTCTCAGACGCGTCAAAAGAGATCGCCACGTCGCATTTGTCGTCGGTCGCCTCCGTTCCCGCCGAGAGAACAGCGAAAAGAAGCCGAACAGAGATGCCGGCGAACCCGCTCCAAAGGAGCGTAAGTCTCAGCACAGGATTCGTTGAGACGATAGACAACGAGAAGTTACCTAATCAGAGCGGATCTTGCAGTTCGGACGCGAAAGCGGACTGCCGACTGTATCGGCCCAGCGGTCCGGTAACCACAGAGACGAAGTATGAGTGCGACTGGGTGAGAGTGAACATGATCGACTTCACGCATGTCTTCCCAGCGGACGACGACGGTTCCTTGGATCTAAATTACTTAGAAGGTATCGAGAACCTGATCAAGTTACTGAAGTCGTTCATATCTCGCAAGCTCGATCGAGAGAACTTCTGCATTGGCGTGAAGCTGTAGAAAGTTGCCTAAAAGCAAAAACCGTGTGATTATTCTCGATGTTTCCCGAAAGCGGACGGAGCGGCTAGAGTTCATCGGACGATGCAGATCGGCGATGTTTATCGTTATCGTTATTGGATTGTCGGACCACCGGCTAGAACTAAGGAGCCAAGGGCAGTGTCAATAGCGAGACGATCTCTCGACAACGACAACCGTCGAACCCAGACAGCAGACACGCGTCGATTTACTGTGGAGAATCGTGAGAGAGTTGCAGCTCTTCCAGGAGAGCGGGATATTGGAATCCGGATGAAAAAATCGAGAGAGAAAATCGTCGCCGACGTTGGATCATCATCCTTCGGAGGACTCTTTTCAATTCTTTAGCAATTTCGCGACGCGTTCGCTTCCCGAACGTCCGCGGAGCGAAGGATCACCAGACAGTAATAAAAACAAAAGAGTCACGAGTCTACATCGAGCGTTTTTAAAGATGTTATTCCGCGTTACGTGCGTTATTCCGCGTTACGGGTTTCTCTCCGTTCTCATGGAGATCCATCCGTGGATTCCATTTCCATCTTTATAATATATCGCGATAATTAAGACGTTTGTATTTTGCCGAAAGAACTAAAAGAAAAGAAAGAAAATTAATAATGCAATGCATAGACCCATCCGGCAGACTTTATACGTTCGATGATTCTCCACTCTTCTGCCGGTGAAAATGCAAACTGCTCGAGTTATACACGGGATTTAGTGCTGGACACAATCGAGAAATATAAAGGATGAGAGAGAAAAGTGAGCACCTTATTGTAAATGTTTCAATATCGTTCGAGTGATGTTCGTATGACGACAATAAGTCGCACTTTGTAAAACGCTGTACCGCAAGCGGTAATGCGAATGATCCTGGAGGTGATGTGGTACACCACTACCGACTTGCCATGTTATAGATAATTATGTTACGCGCAGTACGTGATAAAAGTGCAAATTATTGTAGTTACACAATAGCAGCAATAAATGATTACGTTGTGAAGCAGAACGCGAGAACTCATTGATGAGCGTCATTTTCCGTCGATCTTCGCAGATAATAAAATTTGGATATCCACGTAAAAGACGAGAAGGAGTAGCTCTCATTTCGATCCCTCTTCGTTTCACGCGATTCTTTCACTTTCGTGTTGTCGTTTATAAATGAGATTATGCGACGATTGTCTGACGATGATGATGATGATGGTCGACGTGGGATATCAAATAAATACGAGAATTAACACGACAAACAATAGTCTTGAAATAACAATCATTTCACATAACCCACGATCACGATTATCTCGTTTCGATGAAATGGATTACATCAGGATGCATCAACAGGCGGATCCGTAGAGACACATAATATATTTATTCATCATTCACTCATAGACAGTTTTTACACCGTCGCCGATTGGATGCGCACGCCGCCGCGACGTTATCAACCGCGATAATAATTTGCTTAACCTTTCGTAACACTTATAGTGCGCGCGCGCGCGTTCCTGTTTTGCGGATACGCGTACGTGTGTGTATATATAAGAATGCGCGTGTGTATGTACGTATATACGCACGGACACCTATACACACACATACACACACACGATATATTAAAGACGTACATATATATCGTTCGCACTCGTCGTCGCTACACTTTCTTTTCTTTCCCCTTACTCACACTCATCACTTTGCTAACACTCTTTCTCTTATTAACGTTTAATCTCGAGTGGTAATCTCATCGGGGATTAATCGGAACTATTTCATATACGGACCATAATTATCGGTCATAGTTGCTAATTCCGTTCGGAGAACGAAGAAGACCGTCGGTCAAAACTGCTGCAATGCGTCCTGAAATAAACAGGAACGTGAAGACTCCAAAAGGAAGCAGCCAAATTCCAGCTAGCTTTCCGTATGACATGCGAGGGAATAAGTGAAGGATGAGGCGAAAGAAGCGAAGACGCAATTCGAGGGACAAAGTATCGACGATTTTGTCGCGAAGAGCAGCCATTCGAAAGAGAAGTTCAACGCGAGTCGCGGTTAGAAGCGACGAAGCATCACGATTAGGGACGTCGGATCACAGAATTTAGAAACCAGCCGAAACGCGATATCGCCTCGCGTCACGAGATTATCTCTCGCAGTCGCTTCCGTCACAAGAAGTAGTCGCTGCAATTTAATTGATTAATTAACTAATTTGTCGCGACGATCGGTCGTTCACTACGCCCGATGGTCGGAGTTACATGTCGTTTCACGTTAAGCATAGTATATAATAGGTGTCGTGAGCCGCAAGAGAGAGAATTGGCCAATTTTTTTACGGCTTACGACACCTATTGCGAACCATGCTTTAAGCCCGAATCAGACCAGCGATTGACAATTGGCGATTGATGTTCAACTAATCAGAGCGACATAAGCATTAGCTACTTTGCTTTAGTTGCACGGAATCGCTAGTTCGATTCGGGCTTTAGACGTTTCGCGTTTCGCCTCGACACTGCGAGAGATTCGCATCGAATCGCGCGCGATCGATCGTTTCAAAATTGCGTCTGCAATTGATAACGACAATAATAATAGGTAGCCCTATATATCACATAGTAAACGCAGACGCAACAATAAATATTGCAGAACGCATTAAATAACTAATCGTAACGCAATAATTACAAAGGAAATGGCGGGTCCTGTTAGTACACGATAAAATATGCATTATGTTATGCTAACAATTACAGCGCAAGCAAAATGTTCTCTCTTACGCATACGCACGCGTTATTTCTCTCTCTCTCTCTCTCTCTCTCTCTCTCTCTCTCTCTCTCTCTCTCTTTTTCTCATATGACACTTTTTCTATATATAATTACAGAGATATTGCAAATTGTATAGTCTTTGTAGCTGAATACGGCCACTTGTGCAAATTACACAAATTACATAAATTACACAGTTATTATTGCGAAGCAATTCGTTGAAACGTTGTAAAACTGTTCATACGTACTGTTTTATGTTGCATGTTCCCTATAGGCTTACGACTAAAAAGAAAGAGAGAGAGAACAGATGAGATAAACATGACGATGACAAGAAGACAAGCTGTCTCGCTCTGTGAGGCAAAATGGCAATAACGATGAGACATGCGATACGCTTTGACGAAAAAATTCGATTCCTTATCCTTTGGCCGATCGAGCGTTTTTCTCATCATTCTCTGCTCTTTCTCTTTTTCACACACGGATGCATATACTCATTCGTTTCCTTTACGCGTATAATAATTAGTTTTGCTATAACGTTATAATTAACGGTTAATTTTTCGATATTCAATTATTTCGGTTACTTTTTATTAGCTGCTACTTTCATTTAGGTCGATATATATAACTATATAAATACAACAAACATTCATTACATTTATAGATCTGTCTCTCATCACATTTCCCATTTTGTTCCGTTCTCATTCTCTTATTGCATTATCATACTCTTGTTCCTCCGCACTCTTGTTCGCTCGCTCTTCCTCCCCTTTCCTCTTGCTGTCACGTTGCGACGACAGTTTCGTGAGTTTCGATGACGAAGAAGCAGGTTGTCATCGGACAGATTTAATCGAGAACCGTTTTTATCGTTCTTACGTTGCTCGAAAACTGTCGTCGAAATTTCCGTATCAAAATCCTCCTTTCGCGTAAAAGAATTCGCGACAGTCTTGGAACGATTTACAACGCATGTCAATGCACAAAATCTCGATTTCTCGATTTTTCTGTTCCGGATATCGCCGACATCCAAACGAGGTCGAAGACACCACGTCGTCATCGTCGCGCAAGGACGAAGAGCGTCAAGTGCGCGCGATCTGTGCGTTCACGTTCTGGTGCGAGCGTGAATGCGCGCTGCCTAAATTCTCGCCCCAACAAAGGCCACTCGTGGAATTGAAGAATTGCCGACAGTAAATTCGAACAATTGGGCGCCTGGCCCACGCCGAATTAGAGCCCTTTGGTAGCGGCGACACATAGCCGGTAGCACGCCATTGCCGTGCACAGCCGCTCACCGGCTTTCGATCTTATTAGCGCTCTGAAAAGAACCTGTCGACAATGGCGCGTACGATTACGACGGACTGAGCGGATATCGAGCCCGGGTGGGGATTCAATGGATTTAAGTGACCTAATTGGACGCTGTAATCTCAAACGAATGCCACCAATTTCCGTAATTATTCCCGACGGACGAGCGAGCGAGAATAGTGTTTCGTTCGTGATTACGAGAAGCGACGAGCCCGAGATTTGCCGAGAGATAAATCGCGCTCTCTTTCACCCCTGCTTATTCCGAGCAACGCAGCTTCTTATCGACTCACGAGACCCACCTGCTTCTTTGCCCGCGCAAAGTCGCGGTCGGTACGGTGTCTTAGCAATGTAGTAAGATTCGCGACTTATAAAACTGCGTGAAATATTTTTGATGAGCTTTCGCATAGAAACGACGTTAGAGAGGCGAGTATATGGTGGAAAAAAAAAAAAAGAGTTACAAAAAAGGAGAAGAAGAAGGCCACGCTTGCTTTCACACACTGTCTTCCGCGCGCTCTTATTCTCTTTCCCTTTCATTGACTCACACACGCACACTGCACGAACGAGAAAGTGCCTCGGTTTACGCACATTTGTTCACAGGTGGCCGTCGCCGCTCGCTGATCTTCTTCTCCGCCTGAAAAGCGACAGCGCGCGCGACGCTACGCTATATTCCGAAGAGCACTCTCACCCCTCAAAGAGGGGTTCATCAAATGTACAAAAAGGAATACGGAGCGTCGAGTCGCGCGGACGACCTCCACCTGCCCGGAGAAACCTCGGTCCTGTCGCGTCGCTAACTACATTACTTTCTTACAGTAAACTCGTCATGCCTAGCCGTCTCGATCGAACATGTGATCGAGACACACAAGCTACAACACGCTCGCGCGATATCGTGACACTAGTCGCTCCAACTAATCGATAGAGGAATCACATCTCACGTCTAAACTATCATCTAAGAAATAAGTTACTCTACATTGCACTTCTCGCTGAATAAGGACACAATTATGCCGACTAGAAATGTTGATAGGAATAATTTACAATAATTTAAGTCGGCAAATTTTTACAATTTAGCGCCGAGGTTCCTTCAATAATGATATGAATATGCTCATCACTAAATTTACAATTAAGATTACTCCGACAAGTATCACGATGTCGCGTCGTTTAACTCGAGCTGTCAATCGGTTGAGCAAACCGCACAAAGTTTGAGTGTCACGCCTCGCGAACGGTCGGTTTTTCGCGAGTCCGTTGGCTACGGCGCGTGCGACACAGTACTAACAATTCGCTCTCGACGTTGTTCCTCGGATCAAGTGTGAGAGAGTTCTGATCGCGAGAAAGTAATTGGATAATGCCTACTACAGTCCTAATAGTCGGGCAGCGCTCGATCGGGATTACAAATGCGTCGTCGTGTCGTGTCGGTATGTACTCTATCGAGAACGATTGGGTCATCGATCCGCATCGTACACATCTCGCGCTAGTCATGGAACGCTCTAAGAGTGCTAAAAGGGGATCCCGCGGCAACGGAGTGAGTCCGCGACCCGCTGGTGCTTTAGCACGGTCACTGTCGCGGACCGTGAATCGCCGACACGCGCGTGTTTTGAAAAGAAACCGAATAAAGGTATGAAGAACCGCAGTCACGTGGCAATAGAGACGAGCTCTGCATATGACGAGAAAGGTTCGCTCTCTTTCTACTGGCGACTCTTAAATTAAAACACAAAAATGTCAAAGTACCGTGAAAGATAAAAAAGATCCAACGCTTGCGGTTTCTGCGCCATGCGACTAAAAATACGAAAGGCCGCGGTACTTTCGCGTCTCGTTTGAAGCGAATTCGCGCTCGCTCGCGCTCTTATCGATTAACTTGTGCGTTAAAATTACTCGTTTAGCGTAACGTTGATTTGGCACGTCGGTCGATTTTCCGTTAATTAACGCGTCCGGCGAGACCACGAGAATTCGCACACATGGCTCGTGTTAGAAAGATCGTCACCGCATGCGCACGCGTGGCGAACGCGTTACTTAACTATCTATTAGGCCGCCGAAATATTATTAGCATCCTTTTTCGAGGTCGCGAGTCTAGCGTGCCTAGCAGGATAACACGAATGTT